GTTTATCATAAACATCGTAACTGAGGCAATGGGCTGCTTCTGCACAAGGTCAACTGTAGCTTTTGGTTGGCTGCTCACCCTCATGTGCTGCACTGCAGGGATAGATGAACACTCCAGTGAATGAAAAATCCTCCAAGAACAGGTAAGTCATGGACGATTCATTTGGGAAGGAAGGAACATGTGGTGGGATAAGTTAAGAGTAGGTCAACTTATCACAGTACTAAGGCTAGCGAAAAACCAAAGATTAGGGCAAATCATACTGCAAACCTTGAATTCAGAGAGGACAGAAACATTGCTGAAGAGTGGGTTGATGAGAAGGAAAGGTAAAATAAGCATTCACTTACTTATATATTTTTTAAATTGCCAGCAAAGCACCTGGAATCAGCAAACCAAATCATGTTAAATCTTAAAATAAAATTTAGTGGTCTTTTTAATATAAATCATTCTGGAAAGAAGCTAATGAAACCTTACAGGTCCACCAGAAACGTGACTGAAATCAAGTAAGGACTCATCTTTAAGGCTGCTGCTTGCCAAGGTTATTTAGATTAATTTATTTTGTTTCTGAAGACAAAAGAACACCTTTATGTTGCGGTATTCCCTTATTATTGATACACAAGCTTGCTTTGAAGCTTACTACAGGTATCTGACCAAAACAAGGCATTGACAAAAGCATCAGCCAGAGATGGAATATGGGTTTTCAAAGCCTAATTTTGTGAAGGCGGCTCCAAGAATTACTGCTGTTGAAAGGATTAAACAGGAAAAGCTCAAATCACTACACAGATTAAAAGTTTGTCTTTGAGCAGCTTAGTACATCTGTTTCCAACACAATTCTGTATCCACCCAAGAAGTCCTGCGGTGCTCAATTCTATCCATAAGTTAGACAATTAAAAGACATATTAAAAATCCCAAAGCCTTTATTTGTAAATTTAATGCATTACAGTATTTACTGTTCAGAATAATGTATACAATAAGACTGTGATAACTGACTTGATTTTGTTGCCAGAGTTTTATTTCACTTTTACCTGAATGTCTCTTAAATATCTCTTTTAGAAATACTTATCCTAGTCTTTGAAAGATTTCTAACTTCCACACGTGGTAAAGGTCCAGAGTGGCAAAGCTGCAGGAAAACATACAGAGCAAACAACAGAACTATAGAGGATCATCAGATACTGCTTAGAACTAACTTTATTATAGTCTCTTATGTGTAAAGGTGGCTAGCATAGCTATACATACCCAACAATTCCTGACTTCAGAAAGGCTGCCATGTCAAATACACTGAAATCTGTGAAAACACTGTTCTAGAAGCCCCAGCAGAAGGTCCCAATAACCCCAGCTGTACACAAGATCACCCTAAAATGAAACTTTCTTGATTTCAGAGTTGTATTTTTAAAATTTCTCTGGTCTGCAATAGCAACAGCTACAATTGCTATATGGAGAATTCAGTTCTGGATTTAAGTTGGAACTCACTCAAGTTGGAACAAGAGGCCTAAACTCAGATACAGAAAATATTTAACAGTAAGATCAGACACGAAAATTGAGCAAAACCCAAAATCAATTAAAATTTACGATACAGAATGCACCTTCACCCGCACCCTGAACTACTGAAACACGAGAAACAAGCCACCTCCTTACTCTTGTACTTCTCACTCATTTATTTCACTTTTCCACTTGGCAGAACATCTCAGCAAGAGCATGAGAGTGCAAGGCTCTCCAGACACAAGTGACTATATGTAGCCTGTTATTCCAGATTGCTTAAGAGTTCACTTGACACATTTCAAAATATTTTAGAATATGAAACTAAAAGCAGCTGCCATTCTCTTACACTTCATAGGAAATTGTTTAAAGCTAGATTTACACCTATACACCACATTTCGGCAAAATAAGGTAAGGGATGCACTTAACAGTGCTTAACCAGCGTGCTAGAAGCCAAAAAACCTAACTCTGACAGAGTGTTAACAGTGTTCTACTAAGTCTTCTGATGAAAGTATGAAGATTACCTATAAGAAAAAAAGTTTAATTGGCACAACCAGTGTAGGACTAGAAGAAAATTTAAAAAAAACCCCTGAAACAAAACAGCAGCAGGCTGGCTGTCCTTTAAAGGCCAGAGGCAGGCTGGCCACTCCTGCATGTGATGGGATACCTGTAGCTAGCTCAGTACACTGCTGTTGCATACAGAAACTTCTGTGCTTCTTTTCTAGATGTGTTTGTGACTGCAGAAGGAGCTAAAAAATAAGGGGCAAAACCCTTATAGAAACAATGATATGAGAGAGAGAATAGCAAGGGAGAAAAGACAAGACCTTAAATTTCAAACTCTTGAACAAGAAATATTGTACTAAGAACTTGCCTTAAACAATGATATTTTCTTCTACACTCTCCTCCACCACCATCAGGGGGACTCCACAGAGAAGTCCTGAATTTGCAAATTTGCTCACAAAAGTAACAAAAGAGGAAAAGCTGAAATGTTGAGAACTTGTACTAGTTTGGGAAGCAAATCCCCTGAAGGTGACCTGCCTAGAGAGTCCAGTCACAGTAGAGCACCTTAAAACACAACATAATATCCAACAGGTGGAGGCAGATGAGGACAGAAGTTTGTCATTCCACACCATTATAAAATGTATCAAGATAACCAGCCCAATTCAGGAAGAGCACCAAGTGTTGGGCCATCTGTTCACTTCTCTGCTTAAAACAACAAAAAACCATCCCTGTGTAGAACTGTGTGTCTTTAAGATGGTTAGCTAGATACTCAGAAAAAAAACCAAAATAGCTTGTACACTCAGCACAAAAAGAGATGGAATCGGTGAAGAAGGTAACACGGCTGACTTAAATATGCTTCTTCTCCAGAGCTGCAGAATTCACACTACTCAGAGACCCAAGTCCAGAACCACTTGGAAATCTATGCATTATCATTTTTAATTAGGACTTTAGTTAGCATATTAGCAGAAGTGCTATGTCAGTATACAAACAGTATTATGTGCAGACAGTACAAATGTTCTTTTGGAAGAAGATACTCTAAAATCATTGCTTAACCATGGCACTTAACAACTTGTTTTATTTTTTCAGGCACCTTAGTATCTTCTTTGATTTGGACCATAGTTCTATTTTCTTGGGACATCTAATTTCAGGATTTCGACCAGCTTTACAAAGAAAATCCCATCATATACCAGCGAATAGTTTACTCACCCTGAAAGGCAGTACCTTTAGACAGACAACCACAGTAAAGTATGACAGGGCTGAGACTAAAGACCCATTCGAAAATTCACTAGCCTGTGGAGCATACTTCTTGCAGTAAAGCGACTTCTGTAACTCCAAATTTACTCACTTTTCATCAACTCTTTATTGCATTTTGCTAGAAAAGCACTGAGATTAGGACTGACTGAAGATTAGCAATAACAGAGAAGTACTCACTTGGAGCGACGTGCTTTAGTTTGAGACTTGAATCTGATGTTCTGTGACCCTATCTAAGTAACACAGTGGCAGTGTCTTGGCTAAGAGGTTTATCTCCAGACTGCTTCCTGCCAAGAAAGAAGCAGGACTCCTCATACATTACTTAATCAGTGCTTTATCTTATTTATCTCTCAGAACTGTGCAATTCATTCTGCTCCGGGACTTGACTGTCTCCATGAAAACCCAATGCACTGACAAGGTTAAGAAAGTGTCTTTTTGCAAGAGCAAGAGAGAACATACATGCATGTATTTAGGGGTTGTATTTTTCTCCTATAGAATACTGCACTTGGTCCTATTGATTCTAACCAGATATATCCTTGTCCTAAAACAAGTCAGCTCACCAGAGGAAAGATTCAGTGACTAGAGAGCAAAATTAAGTCTCACTTCCAAATTCTAGCACTGGCGTTAGTGTAACACACTATGTGACTCCAGACAAATTAATTTCTTTGTTCCTTAAAATTAGGAAAAAAAAATAACTTTAGAATTAGTTTTTGTGAAGTGCTTTTGAGTTCCTCACATGATGAACATATTCATACTGCATAAAACAGAAACTGGGAGGTGACCTGATTATTTTTCTTTAAGTAAAAACAAATATGAAATGAAATTGTTAGATGAAGATTGTGTTTAATTACAGCAGTAGGTACGAGGCCACTCCTCAAATCAAGTGCATCTGTACTACTGGGCCACATACTCAATCTACGCAGACATCATTTACTCAAGTTTGATTCCAATAAAATTTGTTGCAACACATCCTTTGCTTAATCCAAATCTACTTATCCAAAACACAATACAGGCTATACTTAGTTTTGTATTATTACTTAAAAGTAAAAAAATCTTCTTCTTAAGCATTTTGGCTTCAAGAAAAGACAGCTTGTGAATCCACTGACAATCTCAAATTATGAACTTCTTCAGTTTCCAAAGTCCTATCCCCACTTATCTCAAACTCTTCCATAGATCAAGTCAAATCCATGTTTAAAGTTCAAAATACAAAAGTTATGATTATGTTTTTATAAAAATGTAAAAAGCTAGTCAAAATTACACGTTTAGATATTTAATCTCTGAAGAATGGAGTATAGCAGCAGGAACTTAAATATAATAACTATCAACAATAAATACAAGAAATTAGTGCAAAGATTGCAATAGAAGGATTCTTGAGTACAATGTGAATATAAAGAGACATTCTAATTTGTACAAAAACCATCTCAACTCTGTATACAATCTCTTCTATAAATACAACCATATAAGATGAAATGCTTATTTGCAAATAATAGTTATTAAAAAGTGTGCTTTACTGGGTTTTTCACTCATCCTCTTGGCAGGTGTAGTCTGCAGGAAGTCTGTAAAGATAAATTGCTATAATTAGATATTTTAACTCCTCTAGAAGTTATATTTTAAATATAACTAACAACAGATACAGTAAATACTTGATTTCCACAGAATGCATTATTACAACACTAAGCATTGTAAAAAATCCATTTGCAGGTAGTAATTTCTAAGTGTGTGACAATGAGGTAACTTGTATAACGTTCTCCACAAATATTAAAATAGTAGTTTACCTATAGCGGAGCATGAAATTGGCTGTGCATTGCTATTGCCTGTTGAAGTTTTTCCTCTTTGGCTCGTCTACAGTGGCAAAGCTACAAAACAAGACATAGGAAGAGTGAATTCTGAAAGAATTTTTCATAACACGTACTACAGTTTCTCTTTAATCATTTAGCTACTTTGCAGGCTCTTTAAAAAAAGCAAGCCTTGTGAAGCACCCCCCCCTTCTAAGCTTCAGGCTGAACAACTGTCTATACTGATATTATTCCATTGTTTAGGAGAGAAGAGCATTGTTTCCCATGTCGTGCACCTTTAAATGTGGAATCCAGTAAGTTGCTCTTGTCACAGCATGAGCAGGAACAGTGGTTTCTGAACTTCACTTACGTGTGACAACCATCAACGGAATAATTAGTTTCAGAAGCTTAATTAAATGTTAAGGTTGCTTAATGTAACATGTCACATTCTATGCTGACTCACCAAATTTAAAATTGCCCATGTAGCTATCTACCCTATAGAGGGAAGATTCCTTCTACATCCTACAGGTACAAAAAAACCTGCAACAACACAGGCCTAAGATCTAATGCAGGAGGCCTTTGCACTTCTGCGTTGAAAATATGTGCCTTCAGAATGCAGATTACATCTAAATAAACTGAAGCCTTTTAGGGATATATTTTTCTTCTGTTGTTGCTTACTAAAGTACTATTGTGTATCACAGAACTGCTCAAATTTATTCACAATGTGTTGTATATCTCTCAGATTAGAATGACTTGTGCATTACATACCGTTCTCTTTTCCATAAAACTACTAAGAAAGTCATCTATTTCTGTTTTGCCTTCCAAGAAATCTTCTGCAATAGTGTCAGATTCCTCTTCAGCTTCATGAGCAGCTACTTTAAGTCTGGCTTGCAGAGCACTTGGACTGCAACTCTAAGAAAATAAAAACTCCTATGTAATATTACGTTGTTCGTCAAAATCTACATTTCCAAGAAGATAAATGACTATATAAATATAGAATATGTGAAGAGAGCATTATTATTACAAAAAGCCTCAGTGACCAATGAAGCTTTACCTCCAATAAACATTAGAGCTTGTTAAACTAGAAAAGTATGGCTAGTTTAGGTCTTGACTGACAATCATACTCACATATGTATAAAGCTTTTCAACTTTTACCCTACACTCTAGAAAAAATCTGACAAGTTCTTAGTGCATGATTTCTGAGTAGAACTGGTGTTTCAAGTGTCTTCAAGAAATAGGGTCTACAGTAGTGAACCTGAGAAGTATAAAAAAGGTAAAAACCACTTACTGTTCAGCTTTTAGATACCCCTGAAATGACTGGGGAAAGGAAAAAGCACCTATTCAAGAAGTAAATGGGCTGCTAATCTAAACCAGGATATTCATTATTCTGTTCTTATAAACCTCAAACCTTATTTCTGTTTATTGTATATAATTTCATTATTTTTCCTCTTGGGCAGTTAATCAGGATGTGATTCACATCTTCATTATGAGTCTGTACAGAGCCAGAACTGCAAAATTAAGATATTTATAAATTTTAGATGCTTGGACTGGCCCCTTCATCTACTCTATGAATAATATTTTACTTACATACTGTAAAACTGTAATGTAATCAGAATTTAAATAATATTGTGCAAAATAATGAAAGTTTGCTCTAATAGAAGATGACTAAAATTCACGCACAGTGCAAGTAAAAAACCTTGTCTGGAACTTTGAAGGAGAGATAACAGGAAATACTGGTTAGTGCACAGTGAAAACTAATACATAAAGATAGAGCATATCTGGAAAAACAGCAAAAAAATCCAGCTGCAACTCCCCAGTTCTCAGCCTCCGAACCACCATTAAATTGCATCAGCACAACTACCTTAGAAAAACTAAAAGGCAACATAACAGCAGTGGGGTATTGTGTCCTGTTCTTACGTGGTTTCTTACAGAAACAGAAAGTTTCTTAATGCCAACAACCTCCATCTACTTTAAAGCCAACTTACAACACACAGAAAGGAGGCATTAGGACTCTGTTTGTTCTCATATAACTTTGTGCTTGTTGTGTTTTGCTACTTTTGGGGCATTTTGAAATTCAGGTGCACGCTATTTTGAAGGACTGTTCTATTCAGGTGACAAGTCTTGCAAATAATGAAGATTTCAGTAGAGAAACTGGTTATAAGAAGTTGTATCTTCTAAGGCATAACCTGGTAAGCATACTAGGAAATGATTCTCCTTCCCCAGATTGCTTTCTGAAGTAATGACTTTACCCTATTTGTGCTTTAGAATGTGCAAAATTTGACAGCACATATAAAATGTTGCCCAAAGAAGCACACCCAGCGAATCACAGAATTTAAGTTTTTAAAGCAACGGTTTTAATAATTTCTTATCTGGTAAGATTTTACAGGCCCGTTATGTTAAATGGGTAATATTAATTAAACAATCCCTCTTTAAAAATTATTCTATTCTTGAAACTGATTTGACCCAGGGTTATACTTAAGAAGAGCTCTAAATGCTCATCACAGGCCCTTCTTCCAACTCTGTTTCTATTGTAGCATGTAAAAAAAAACAACAGCAAGCCAAAAATCGCCACCAAGAAACCCAGTAGAGCAATCTTAACACTGTTTTGCTTTCAAACTGAGTCGTATTCCATATTTATTTAATGTGGAGTTTAACCAGAAGAATATCCTTTATGGATTAAGATACAAATCTAAATTTCAGTTTTATTAAGTATTCTTAAAGGATAATATGATACAGAGATAATACCTCGCTAAGTTCATGCTGTCTTTGCATCTTTTTTTCAAAGGCTGCTTTCATCTGTGTGAGTTGCTCATACTGTAAGGAAGAAGAAAAAAACCCACGTTTTACACCTGAAAACACACAGAATATTACAGCTAGTATTTCTGAAAAAGATTTTATTGTTCACTCACTTTATCCAACACCGTCTGTCTTTTTGCCTCAAGACTAGGCTCCAGCAACAAGTTTTTTTCTGTAAAATAAAGTCACCATTAGTACTTTTTTTTAAAGGATCCAGTTTGCAGAACACAGACGCAGACGCTAATGTTTTGATATCTTACTTGCCAGCTCTTCAATGCTTTTCACTAACTCATCTCTGTCAGTAATGACTTGCTTCAGTTGTGGCAGAGTCACGAACTGTTCCAGTAACACTTCCTCTTGCTCATTCATATTGGTCAGCTGCGATATACTATGTTCAAACAGAAAGAAAGTAGATTTAAAGCTAAAAGCAGACATGCAGAGTTACAAATTTCTGCCAAAAGTTTGAGGCATTTATTGGCACTTTACAGAGAGACAACACTTATTTTTGCCCTTTCTCCTGGACTGCAGGCTCTACTATTTGCAGCAGTGAGCTTAAAAGGCAAGGTGTTAAAAAGTATCTCTCATTTCAAGCCTTACTTCCCCTACAGTGAATTTTAATACTACTACAGGGGTTGACCATGGCCAGCTGCCAGATGCCCACACAGCTGCTCTTTCAGTCTCCCTTCTCAGTAGCATACAGGGAAAAACCTTGTGAGTTGAGATAAAAGAGAGATCACTTACTAATTATGATCATAGGCAGAATACGCTCAACTTGGGAACAATTAATTTAATTTATTGCTGACTACAGTAAGGGTCAGATGGTGAAAAAGAAAGACAAAACCTACACCAACTCACTCCTTTTTTCCCCAGGTTCAACTCCAGTCCTTCACTCCCAACTCCTCTACTTCCCCCCGCCCCAAGCAGCACAGGAACTGCAGGTGTTGCAGTCAGTCCTGAACCATTTGCCCCTGCTGCTCCTTCCTCCTCCCTTTGCTGCTGCTCCAGCATGGGTCCCTCCCCACGGTCTCCAGTTCTTGGCAGGAGAGCCTGTCCTAGTGTGGGCTCTCCATGGCTGCAGTTTCCACCAGGGCATATCCACCTGTTCCAATGTGGGGTCCTTCACGGACTGCAGCGAGGATATCTGCTCCAGCATAGTGCACTCCATGGGCTACATGCAGGGACACCTGTTTCACTGTGGTCTTTTCCAAAACTTGCACTGGCTGCAGATGAGTATCTGCTCTGGCACTTGGTGCATCTCCTCCCCCTTCTTCTCCAGCCTTGGTGTTCACAGGATTCTCACACTTTTCCACCCTTCCCGTCAATCTGCACTTCTTCACAGGCATTTGCCCTCTTTCAAGCCTGTTTTCACAGAGGCACCACCCGCTTCACGGAGCAACTCAGCTGTCCTGCAGTGGGTCTGCTGCCAACCCAGCTGCGCCTGGCGTGGGGACAGCCCCTGGTCGCTTCTCACAAAGGCCACCCATGCAGCTCCCCAGGTACCAAAACACTGCCACCTACACACAACAGAGCTACTCAGAACAGCTGCAATACCAGTTGTGATTTAACTCAACTACTAATTAAGACTGGAATCTTAATCCAGTCTTCTTGGCAGGACCCAGCTTGATGAGAATGTTTTGTTTAAACGAATTACACTTCTCCCCTTGCCAAGCCCCCTAACCTTCTGCTATATAATAAGGATGCTGCTAGAACTTACAGCTGATTTAGCTAGATTAGGCAACTTGGGAAGGTGTCAAAGGAAACAAAAAAACAACTCAGAAATTCTTCTTGCCAAAAATATTTTCCTTTTTGAAAAGGCAGAGTTTTTAATCATTAAACTCTGACACCACCATAAAGATGTGACATCAGAAAGAAATCAGTCTCCTGGGACCCTTTCAGAGTCAACGGCGAATGTATACGCTACTCAAGCCCCAGGTAACTGATCTAGGAGGCTGTCTCTTTAGATCCAAGCAAATTGCAGGGAACAATTAACTAACAATTTTTTTTTAATTGTGACAAGATACACTTTTACTGCAAATATTTGCGTAATATGTGTACGAAGTATTTAGATGTAGAAGTGAATTGCACTGAACATCCGGCACATATACCAACTGGATTTATCTAACCCAACCTCACCGCACACACTGAGCTGTTCACAAAGTGATTCGTTGTTTATCCAGTGCTACAGTTCTTTCAAATTTAAGAGAATGTAATTTGTGATCCGGTCTAAAGTCCATTTCCCTGTTCCCCTTCCCCCTTCCAAAGTAACACTTATTCTATTAGTATAAATTAAAGTCCCTGTCAAGGTCCCAGAAAACAACAGGACACTGATAATTAGGAGAAGAAAAATAAATGCTCTTTCTCTTAGTGCTGAATCATATTGTTACTGTTGAGAAAGGCCTAAACAAATACTGCATTTGCATATAAGGCTGGCTTACTTTCTGACTAGAATTTGGTGAGTTTTCTACAAAAACCTTACCATGATGTATAGACTTTTGACAAAAATCAGATACAGACCAGCAGTAATTGCCTTCAGATGACTATGGAAAGTTTTGCTACTTTCTGAAAATTTACCTTAGTTCTGAGAGTTCTGGAAATGTATCAGGAACATCAGGCATCTTGTAAGTAAATCCATTCTGGCCAACCTAAACCAAAGTTTAGAAATGCTTAGTAGATTTTTTGAAGAGAGTTTTGCTAATATTTAACCTGATTAATCTAAAGCTGGAGACAAGTATTTGCCAGGAACAAGAGAAGTAGGAAAAGCAGGAAGAAGCAGTAGCACTAAGTCTGTGAACCTCAACTCAACCATGACAACAAAATACTGGTGGCTGGTTGGGGTGGCATGTCACAGAAGATAAGTCAATTTTTGAGGAAAATAATTTTGACTTGATATACCTCCCATCTGACAACAGCTGGATGACCCAGGAAACATGCAGGAGGAGTATAACTCAGGCAAGTGAGAACAGAGAAAGAGATTGACATTTTGATCTCTTTCATGTGGTTTTTAAAGCTATAGTCCCTCAGGAAAAAAAGTTTTTTGACAAGTTAAAAACCAGTCTGTCTTCACAGAATGTAGAAATTTTAAATTCAACAAAGGCAGAAAAGTGTCATTTCCAAGATTAGGAAAGCTTTTCTTGCTAAAGACAGGATTTGATGAAAGACTAAATATTTAGATATAAAATTTTTGGAGGACATTAAAAAAAAATCCTTTCAGAGTGCATCAGTGAGAAGGAGTTTGTGAGTACACACATATAAGATCCATGAAGAGAAGCTATTTTAAGCATGAAAACAAGAAATAAACACACATAAAGGCTTGAGACTGCACATAGCTCTCACCTGATATGTTCTGTGCAGGAAATCCCATCTAGAGAAAAGGATCTCATTTTCTATGGCTGGAGAAACAGTCACAGCTGCACTGTGGGGCAGCGCAGCTCCAAAAACACCCAGTACACTCAAAAATATTTAGCATAACCCTAGTTTCACTGAAACTCAGAAAGGCAAACTCGTTGCTCTGACTTCAAGTTTGTTCTAAAAAACTTTTGATCGAAGGCAGAATGCCAAATTCATTTTCCTAGCACCAACAAAACAATGAAGCACAGTCACTCACACTCTTCCCGTGAGTTTTGCAGCAATGCCCTGTGTGCCCTTGAAGGAACTTGTACCCAGAGTCTGACAGCTTAAGCAGCAAATTTGAGAGCACAGACCTGAAGCACTGATTCTGCTGTTGGAACAGGTAGTGGCAGATCAGCAATCAAGCCATAAGAGGGAGCAGCAGGCTTGTCTGTAGTGTAGCTTGAAGAAACTGATTCAGCGATGGGCACAGCTGTCATTGTTCTATTTGTTTCTTGAGTTGCGTATGGAGGAAGAAATGGAAACCCCTGAGGAGCATAAGGAGGCATTCCAGCTGGTTTGTTGAAAAGGCTAGCAACAAACAAACAAAAAAAACCCAGAACCATGAGCAACCACCTGTTTACATCACATTGCTTATAATTTGAATTATAATTACTACACCATATATAAGATAAAAGATTGAATTTTTAAATTAACATAATAAACTGTGCATTTTCTCTTCTCAGTTACTTCCAATTTAGTAGGTCTACTTTGTCTTATACTAGAACATAATATCCAAGTCCATTAAACTATACTCTTGTATAGCAGCCAAATTATTACTCATGCTCTTAATCATAAAACTACTTTTCAAAAATTTGTGAGAATGTAAATTGAAATTGTTTCCATCTAAATTTCCTGAGAAATGCATCTGTGTTGTACATTAGCTCCTATTTACGGTATTGCACTTAACAGCTTTGGCAACACACACATAATTGCTTCTAAATAATATTAATTACTTTCTTTTAAATTCACAATTGCAGCTGCATCTAAACCCAGTATCATCAGCAGCCATGAGAACCACAGTTGCCCTGATATACCTATAATGTCCCAGACCACTTTTGCATATTAATACAATTATTTAAATTGCACAACTTCTGTTGCACAGTTGTGCAACACAAACTGCCTCTAAGCCTGAGAGATCATAAACAGAACAACACTGCTCCAATTATCATCTACAGCAAGTTCAAAATTTCATCTGATAACATAAACGTTTATTCTTTTTCAAGAAAATAGAAGCATATAAACTCACATCCGCAGTAATTCCAATGAAATGTAGTGTTTCTTCTCAAAACAATCATGTCATCAAGCATGAGTGTGAAATCGTGCAAAGGCAGGTAATCTATGTCACCCACTACAACAATCCTGCTCCTTCCCTCCCTAATACATTTTTTAAAAAGAGGTGAAACCAATTAAGTTAATACACATAGTTTCATTCAACATGTTTATAGATACTTACTATGGAAATGATGTTGAGCTAGGAGCCAGAACTGGAGGATTCTTCCAAAACTCATCCAGTAAACTCTGAATAATTTTTCCAAGATCTGAGTGCATTGTAAACTGGTAAAAACAAAAAATGAAACACTATGCAGAACTAAAATTATGCCTGGAATCCAACAGTTTTAAAATGTGCTGAACTCAATCATTTATTATACCCACACAGAAGTGCTGGAAGCTACTTCAGAGACATATCAGCTAATGTAGACAGTGTGTTAGCTCCAAACAAAGTGATCAAGCTACCCACAACTAAAAACAAACTAAAAGCATTTTGTATATTCCATTAGCAATGGAGAATCAATCAAGTACAACATTTCTGATGAGCAATAAAAAAAAAAAATCCACCTTAGTTACCAAGTTACATTTGGGAAAACAAAAACAAACAAACAAAAAAAAACAACATTTGAGACAAAAAGCATTAATTGCATTCTGAAAAAAGTGACAACCTCCCCTAAACCTCCATCCTGAAAACTATCACATCTTTGTTGGCAGAGAAAAGGAAAAAACAAGACAAAACAACAAAAAACCCCAAAACACAAAGAGCATACTAAAATCCTGAATATTAGAGCTAAAACCTTGACATCTTTCTAATAGGATTAGAGTAGAAAGAACATTCTTAAAGCATCCTTCTCCTGTATTTGGAATAGACTCTAGAGACACACGAACTGTGCTATTAGTATTAGCAAGAAAAGTGATAGAAACTTTATAAGGCATCAAAACTTAAATTAGTTATAGATACATGGAATACGCAGTAGCAATGAAAGAATAAAAAGAAGTATACTGAACACTACTGAATTTTTTATTTCAGACTTCTCAAAATACAGTTTGAGAGGGATTAGGATCTGTACTAGTCTTCTTCACCAGAAGTATTAGCAATAATCTAGTGTGACGTATTAAAAATGCTGCTGACAGTAGACACATGTGAATCCACAAATTATACGTACGTTACTTATTAGTGGACCAGTCACATATACTCCCTGCTTGTCCACTAAATGATGTCTCACAGGTGGGAAAACACTGATGACTGGTTTTTCCTGAGGAAACTGAGGTGGAAGCAAGCTGCAAATATAGGAATAATTGTTACTACAGCTACACTTCATGATAAAGTTTGCATAAGAAGGCTTCTTACACAGAGAAAAAATACTATTAATTACACAAATTTACTTTCCCACAGGAAGATTTATGGTGCAAAATATGTGAACCAAGTACACAAAGAGATTATTCAGTTGCAAAATTAGAGGTCAAACAGATTAGAATACCAGACTTCCATGGAACTAAAGAGAGTATTTACTGGGCAGAATTATAGTATAACAAAGAAGGAATTATGTCCACAGACACAAAAAAACCCTGTAGCATAACAAAAATATTTTCTAATACAAAATGCAGTGCAACCTGCAAGAATAACAGGCAAATTATGAGGCTAAAGGAATAAAAAACTCTTGAAAATAGAATACCATCAATATATGTCAGAGCAAAAGCACTCCTCAAAGTAAATTCACAGGAAATGTTACAAAAAACCACCTAAGTTATCATCCAGAAGCTTCACTGGGCTAAGAGCTATGAGTTACAGCAGACTGGCAAATTATTATTTTCAGTTGTAGGGGATTTGAATTCATCAGAAACCCTCAAGTGTTTTCTCCTACTACTTTCAACTAGAAACACGTAGGTACCTTTGAAGCTCAGCACAGCAAAATAACAGTTTTGTTTTCAGCTTAGCATCTGTATCAGAACTAGTTTCACTCACATCACTATAACTACTAATACAAATCCAGGTCACTGTTCCTGAAATTAGTTATGAGAAGGAAGCCATTTACATTCTATCACTACTTTTTTTTTTGAGAGCAATTTTAATTTTCAAGATTAGCATAGAGATACCTCACTCTACTTACATGTTAATATTAATTGTCAAGTTGTTTACAGTGAATGGCAGTCGATATTCCACATCTTTCTGAATTTCTGCAATGCTGTCAAAGAATAAATTGTTAGCATCCAATTAATGGTCAATATAACAGCCTAAAGTCTAAAAACAGGTATGACCTCAGAACTTTCTATTTAGTTTTGGAAAGCCTTGTAAGAATAAAATTGAAAGTGCTTGCATAAGTTAATACACTTCAGAATGCTATATTGAATATTAAGATTCAAGCAAAAAAATAGTAGATTCAACTTCTAAACCTCATATATGATCACAAGCAAAGGAAATACAGTAGCAGAAATTCTGCTACTCACTAATTTGACAACAATCTCAACTTCTTTTTTTTCACTTACTGGCTTAATTTAAGACATCACATAATAGATCTTTTGTTTGTTTTACATATACTTAATTTTATCTGATAAAACATTTATTTGCCAAGGCATTACACTTAGTTCACAACTAAGTATTGCTCTGCAATGCTGCCTACAGATCAATACTCAGAACATACATTACACGAGGCTCTCTTCCTTAATAAATTATCTTGCTATTTAATAGTATGTTTTCCACATGTACCAAGTTCTATGCACTTGCACAAATATTTTCAAGAATTATTTGGAGAAGAGTTACTTGCAAGAATGTAAAGCTCTCTAGTCCGGTGACACTCAAGACACTGACACCCCTGAAAACACGAAGAAACACTTATCTCAGGAATTCTGTTAAGACCAAATCCAAATGTGCTTCTCCTGCAGCAGCTGAGTTACTGAGAAAAGCCTTTAAATCAGTTGCATTAACAGGAACCTAATTTCAATACTCAAAGCACTCTACAATTTCTAGGCACAAAGAAGACTGTTTTGAAAGACAGTATCTCAAAGAACATGGAGGAGGAGGAGGAGTGGAAGATTTAGGTCAGAAACAGAATTTCCAGACAAAATGAACATACCTATAAAGGTAGGACTGGGAGAGAGAAAGGAGGGCAGAAAATCAGCTTATAAAAATATCTTATAATGCCTTAATGGAAACAAACTTAAAAAGCAGGCTGATTCCTCTTCCATCTATTTTTCTTGCCTGCATCTGGTTAGTAGTATTCTTCTTACTCATCTCTCTAAGGGTACCTTATAAAAGGAGGGAGCATGGCTCCAATTAGGAATAAGGGCAGCTGGGTTCCTCGAAAACCTCTCTGCACCCCTCCATCAGCAACGCCCCTCCATCTACTGTCAGGTACACTCCGTACAATTAATTCCTCAAAAAAACCCAAAACACATTAGCTGCAAGTGTTTCTTAAATGTAGTTCTAGGTGTGGTTTGTATCACTCCAAAGCATTATTTGCACATAGAAATTAAAATCCTAGTTTTCAGAGCTTTGGGAATAAATGGAGTAAGACGCAAACATACCTATGCATCTTGCTTTCCACAGCTCAACCTTATTCCTCTCACAGACAACTCAGTATCTTTCTTTCCCTGCGAAATCGCATGCTATTTGAAGAAAATATCAGGTATCTTCAGTACAAGAGAATTCAAATCAGAGTTTAGGGCTCTACTGTGATATACCAAGCACCAAAATCACCACCTCCTCATTCCTAACCAAGGGATTCTCCTTGGAATCTCTCACGCACATTCCTGTCCCGTAATCACCTGTCACGCATTTTAATAGCCTGCTACAAATTCCTTTTGAGAAGGGTATATAATTATGCTCCGCTCACGTGCATAACCCACAGGAACTGGGGAAGAAGAGTAGACAGGGAGGGAGAAACAAGAAATCCAGAATCTCATTAAGCTGTTTAGACTGTTATAACCTCCTTTAAGCAAAACCCTGAACCAATAAACTTAGTTGTCTCTTCTCCAAGTGGGAATAGGTACACATTCTTAACTTTGCCTAGAACAACAGTAAATATAAGAATACTGTTTTTTAAACACAAAAACTTGATTTCAATCTCCTAACCTACGAGTATCCTGAAAAGGACGAGTAGCTACTTTAATGGAATTAAGATCAAAATATACCTGGGGCTCTTATGGCCTAACACAACACAAATCTTAACTTACACTATGCCAAGAATTTTATTTTGACCATTTCAGTGAGGAGCAGCTAGGATACAGTTAAACAAATGACAAAATCTACTTATCAGAAAAAAAACAACCCCAAAATGACATTTATTTAACCACTGCTTAGGAAACAACACTGTTGCAGTGTTTAATGTCTATTCCTATCCTATAGATCTGTGCCACTCTGGAGTTCAAAAGCAAGCAAATTGGTCCCATTCAAAAAAAAGTTTGCAGTTTTTAATATTTGCACAAGTACATATACCTTTTTAAAAGCAGAGAATCTGAGGCACTGTTACTCAGATTTGTTCAATAATAAGTATCTCTTATGACAACTGTACACTTTGCCAGAATTTAGATCCAGGCTTGCTTATTTTGGGGCGTTTTACACTTGTCATAAGAGAGACAAGGTAGGTTACTTCACATGGCTCTAAAGTTACATTTGAGGAGCTACCATCTCCCTACGCCTTATTTCCACTCCTGGCTGCAGGGTCCATTCTCTCTCTGCCTAGGCTTGTACTGGCACCTACGCAAACAGGGTATAAACCAGTTCAGCAAGCTGACTTTGACAAAAACTGATCACTTTTTTTGAGGACTTGGGGCAAGTTCATCTCCCTGCTAGAGAAAAAAATAGTCTAAGGCCAGTCCAACCAAAACTAGTTAGGTAACCTGGTGCACACCCACAGAGGCAGCTCCTTAGAAAAACAAACTACCCTTCAAAAACATTTGCAAAATTTGCTCTGAACAGATTTAAGTTTAAGCAAGCAACAATATTTAGAAGTGCTGTACTTATGTTTCCTGGACAATAAATCAAAACATTAGGATAGTCCGTCACCTCCAATTATTAAACCCGGAAATACAAATAAGTGTCTCTTCCACTCCCAGTCTCTGTCTGACATAACAGAAAGCACTTCCCTTCATTTTCTGGATTGCTTTGGAGGCATCTATTGTTTCACTTCCTAGGGAACACGACCACATGCAGATCTCCTTTCAAAAGACTAAAATTTAGGTAAAACCAGATCAGCATACTGACAAACCAGAATACCTCAGGATAAAGGAAGGTGTTTTGCTGTAAAAAAAAGTGTGGCTGTTCAACAGGGAAAAAAAAAAAAAAAGGCACACCTGCCTTTGGCGAGCACCTAAGTAAAACAAGTTACCAAGGGACATCAGCTACTGCCAAGTTGGCTCTGTATGTCTGAAAAAGTCTGTGGAGCCGGCGGGGCTGCTGTGCCACCGGTGATCAGAGTGCAGCGACACACAGCACCTTAACCTGTAAAAACCACGCTCCTACAGCCACCACCCAGAGAGACGGCTGTACCCTGTACCTCTTTCGGGGAGACTTTAAAACCCACTCAACAACACAGTTGACTTTCCGGTCAAG